ACATTTGACCATATTAAGTTTTGTTCTCCAAAATATATTTCTTTTCCTGAAAGCTCTTTGCATTTCCCAAAGTGATATGTCATCAAAGAGGTTCATGTAGAGGATGAAAAAAACTATGAGAAATACAGGTTTCTGATGACTTTCAGACCATATCATGGGACTGGATAAAAATTCTACAATTCTAAAGTAAAAAAAAAAAAAAAAAAAATATATATATATATATATATATATATATATGTAATTCCTAACCTAACATCATGCAAAGCAAGAATTACTTAAATGAGACTGAACTGATGTGCTGAAATGATATTTTATTATGTTTCAAAAAAAAATTGCTTACTTTTTTCCCAGAGTTAAGAAAACATTTTTTCTCTTAATCTATACCTTTACAGAAATTTAGTAAAGTATACTCTTACAAGCAAGATTGAAACATTTACCTTTCTCTCTATCTGATTCCTCCAAAATTGAAAAAAACATTCATGAATATTCTTATTTTATGGCAATATAGTTGTTTGCATAAGTTCCATAACAATCTGCTTTCTTTTGAAACAGGACCACAGTTGGAGATATTGGTTATTTTCCCAATGCTTTAACAAAAACGTTGTATTTTTCTCATATGACCAGACATCTATGAGAGATTGAGGTTGACTTTTATGAAGCCAACAAAAAGCCCTGTGGAAAACCTGGTCTGATACATTAAATACAGATGGGTAAAAAAATGCTATTTTCTTGCAGACCCAGAGTCCTCAGGATATTTTGGGGACATCAAGAATCAAAAAATATACCCAATTAATATAGGTATTATAGATACAGTCTGAGGAAGAATCAAATTCTCAGCTTGGCTACTTAGCCTGGAGAGGCTTTTTATTTCTATTTTTCTTAAATTATATTTCAGATATATGGTATGCAGCCAATTCAGAGGTTTATTTATTTATTTGACAGTCTATGGCCAGAATGGAGAGGTTTTTTAAAAGTCTAATCTGAGATTCCTTACGAAAAACTTCTGACCAATCCAACTTTAAAAAAGAGCCTATATGACCAGTTGCTATTCTTGTTAAACTTATGTAAATAATAAATCAAAAGACTAAACTTATTTTGCAAACATATTAGTCTTACCATGAATATTTTAGGTAGAAATGGTGGTAAAAGTTGAGAAAAATAATAATTGTGTTCAGAAGGAAACTATAGTGCACCTATAGTCCTATCCATTGTTTTTGAGTTTTTTATTATCTGGACTGAATCCTAAATTTTTCATTTTCTCCAATATCTGGCTACAAATCTTCAGACTAATGTTTCCAATTTTTCTGTCACCCCTCTGATTTAAAATCACTAAAAATGAGAACTAAGCTTTTCTTAAAGCACTGTGAACAGAAACTAGACAAGTTGATACAAACTTTGGGTGAAATCACTACAGCAACTTGTAAATAATCAGCCTTTGGGCCTCTAGATGTATGAACTAAGAAAGTTTACTGGCACACCTGAATTTAACTGCAATCCAGGAAAATCTGTGAGATTGCCAATGCCTGTCCATTCTAGCTGAAAATGTTTTCGGCCCAAATCTAGGATTTTTCTCAGCTGACTGCCCTGACTTTAGAAAAAATAGTTTATAAACCAGTGACCAAAAATAAAACACCTGTTTTTCTTTCTGTTTCCATAGAAATGCCCCTCATTAAAGATCTGTTTGACCACATCATATATACAGGCCTACTTTTGAGAGCCCATCTGCAACATAATCTCCTGAAATTAGGTAATAACTGCCTAACTAAACCAATCTATTCTCAGAGCTAAGAGACGTACTTGAGAAGACACAGGACAGTGTACTCAAATTTGTTTCTTTCTGTTTATTCGAATCTATGCTTTTATTTTCCTCCCTTTTGCCAAACTCTTATCTCACAAACTCTAACCCAAATCTCTCCAAAGCTACCAACCTGGGCTTTAATATATGAAAATTTTTAAAATTAAAGTTTTAATGAGGGACTGATGGAAACTAGAATATTATACTCCAAATGATACTTCTTTGACATATTTTGATATGACTATTCATGGGCCTGCAAACCACTGGGATAGCTTTGAAAAGCTGTGCTTTGTGGGGAAGATTTGCATTTGTGGAGAAAATCTATATTAGTGAGGTAAACAGCCGGTTAAACAGTGATGCAAAGGGCTTTATCTGAGGCCTTTCTTATTCAGATCTTGGAAAGATTAATTCACAGGAAAATGTAACCAAAGTCTGATATTTTTAAAGAGACACCTTTACCACAGGCTACCTTCTATTCTTTCTGAGAGCTGCTTCCTGTGAAGTTTCATCTGCATAACAAGACAGACTTTGCCAGACATGCTGTCCTCTCCTCATTCTCCCATAGCCTACCTTGCAATGCTTCAAACCCCTATTCTCTCTGTAACCTCAGGATGATATAGAAACCTGTTATCTTTGAGTCTCATACAGTGTCTGTGACTCCCATGTCCCTGTACTCATAATACATTTGTTATGTTTCTCTCTTGTTAACCTTTCTTTTCTTATTGGGTTGTTTGCCAAGACCTTTAAAGGGATTACTCCCTTTCTGCTCCTACAATATACCTGGTAAACAGATAAAAATTTTTATTGTTGAGTGCAACACTATATAAAATAAAAGAGAGATGAACTAAAAAGGAACTGTTCTATTTTACAAGTCAAATACTGAAGTGTGAATAAAAACAAAAACAAAATCCAGTCTCTCACTGGACTGAATGGACCCCTCAGCCAAAGGGATCCCCCCACACACACCAAAAAAAAAAAAAAGCTAAATTATCAGCCACGAGGAGAAGGGAGGTCAGATACGCCTAGTTATGCTGTCCCTTTGGAGTTATTCTTTTTAATTGTAAGCTGCAAAATCACTAACAAGCCTAAGGCCACATATGGCAAAGGTTAAACTACACCTGCCGATCATTAGATCATTAATTTACTTATCAACTCACTGGAATCTCGGTACATGTCCAGTTTATGTTTGGTGGCTTGTCTCTGGTTGACAGACTTCCTTACCTTAAAACATTCCAAGCCTTTAAACAAAGCTTCATTTCTTTAATCAATTACAAATCAAAGAAACCTTAAACCTGTAATCCCATGATTCCAGATGTTCTGCCTTTTTGAGCCAGACCGATGTCTGCCTTCCATGTATTGATTTATGACTTTACATGTAATCCCTGTCTCCCTAGAATATGTGTCACTAAACTATAAACCAACCACGGCGAGACCACTTGCTCAAGGCTTCCTGGGCATGGCTCTCCGGGGGATGGCTGCACATTATTCGGTTCAGAATAAACCTCTTTAAATTATTTTACAGAGTTAGGTTCTTTTCCATTGATAAGTAATATGAAGGCAGTACTGGCAAAACACTTTCAGTTGGTGGATTGGAAAAAAAAAACACAAAAAACCTCTATGGCTCTACTAGCGAAAGATTTTCAAAGTTAAACGTAACCTGTGGGTATAGATATCATAAAATGTGAAAATGTGTGGTACAGAGTTCTAAGATTTGTTTTAAGGACTCCTGCAAGATTTAAGCAGAACCTGATTGACCTTCTCAGCTAGGCAAAGGGATTGCTCAGAAGACTGAGGGTCTTACCTGCAGTACCAAGTATGACGGAGGCAGTTACTGGCCTGCCTACCTTGAGAAGAATTACGGGTGAGTTTTGAAGGCATGGAATGTGGAGTGGATCCGATCCAGATTAATACAAAGCTTAAAAACGCTTTAGATCTCTTGTAGTAGCAAATATATCCAAAATGGATCATAAGAGACTGACAGTCTTCCAACACGATTTAAAAAAGGAGTTCTCTGGGCCACCGATACTGTTATGGCAACAGCAAACTGCATCATTCACTTAGGTGCTAGGAGATGGGGGGCTAGAGGCGTATGCCGAGATCTCAGGGAGCACAGCCAAGATCTCCAAGAGTGGCCAGTGTATGATAAAAGAGTAATTTTGCATTTTCAAAGAGTTATAAAACATACGCAATAGAAAATGCATGCTGCCCACAAACACAAAAATAGTTACTACCTGGCCCTTTAGAATAAAGGGTTGTCAAATCCTGACCTCGGAAGCCACTCGCAGGCAGCAAGGAAAAACAGAAGAAAATTAAATCCTCTCCTTAGGAGAAGAATGGAGCCCTGAAAAAAAAGAGCCTTACCTGCCCTTGAATACAGAATTCTAAAAACAGGTATAAACGCAAGGAAAGGAGGGGGCAAGATGGCTGACTAGAGAGACGCCAGACGCCAGATTGCCTCAGAAAGAAGGAAAAGTTTTAGATGCAGAAAAAAGAAAAAGAAATATCTCAGCCACTCACGGTGGCGCGGGCCTGTAATCTGATGTAATAGCACTCTGGGAGGCCGAGGCAGGAGGATCACCTGAGGTGAGGAGTTTGAGGTTGCTGAGAGCCACCACGATGCCACGGTGCCTGGGCGACAGAGAGAGACTCTACCTCAAAAAACAGCAGCAACAACAGCAACAAAGCATAGCGAGGTGTAATTCTGAGGGAAAAGTGACAGAACCTACCGGAGATTCTGTGGGACGAAGTTGTGAAGCAGAAGAAGGAGCGAGAGATACCGGCGGAGAACAACCCCTGAGGAAATTGGAGTCCAGTGGAAAGGCGGGAAAACCGAGTCCGGTGGAAAGGCGGGAAAACCGAGTCCGGTGGAAAGGCGGGAAAACCGAGTCCGGTGGAAAGGCGGGAAAACCGAGTCAGGTGGAAAGGCGGGAAAGGCCGGGATTTCCTTTCTCCTTCCCTCACACCTCTGGCAGTCAGAGGGCTCCGGAGCTGCTGGAGAACTTCTCTACCCTCACGAGCCCTAAAGCTGCTGCCCCCCGTGAACTGGAAGCTTCTCAAAAACAAAGCAGCAGCCCCGCCTCGAGTCACTCATCTTCACCACAGACCCAAACCCGAGCCGGCGCCTATCGGGGCGGGAGCCGCACTGCTTCTCCACTGCGCATGCGCTGCAGCCCCTCAGTGCCGTGTCCTTTGCTCCCTCGCAGTTCTGAAAACAGATGCCTAAGCATATTCCAAAATTCCTGTGCGCCAGTGACTGGTATGTGCCTCTAATGCATCCTTATTAAAGTGAGTGTGGTCATTTTTCTGTCATCCTCGGGTGTATGGGTGCAGGTAACTTGGTGTTTATTCTGTTTCAGATCTCTCTGGAACAACAGCAGCCTCTCCTGCACGTTGGGCATTTCTATGATGAAGAACAAGCGGCGGTTCTAAGAAGTGCATGTGGTAAGTACTTTCCTTTCCTTCATTGATTAAAACGAAGACAACACGAGTACTTTAGGATGAAGTAATGTTCCCGAAGTTCTTTTATTATTACTAGATTTTAAAATTATTTCTTTATTTTTTTTTTATTTTTGTAGAGATAGGGTCTTGCTCTGTTGCCCAAGCTGGTCTTGAACTCCTGGCCTCAAGCTATCCTCCCAATTTAGACACCCAAAGTGCTGGGATTAACAGGCATCAGCCACCGTGCCTAACCTAATTTTCCTAAAATTCTAAGTATTTTATGCCATTTATTATTTTGTATAACCATCATATTGTGTTTTTAAATTATTTCTTGTGGTCATATTAAAAGACAAAGCATATTTGTCTTATATTTTAGCTGGTCTTGAAAAATAATGGATAAAAGGACTATAGTTAAGGAAACAAGAATTAAAATTACTAACATATACAAATAAATGTGTGTGTGTGAGAGAGAGAGAGAGAGAGGGAGGTGGGGAGAGAGAAGGAGAGAGTCATAGGTAAATGGACAAAGGTAACCAAAGCATAGTGGGGTTGGCATACTTAACAATGATCGCCAATGCTTTTCTCTTCTCTTTATCCACTACAGAGTATACACAGTAAGTTTCAGTTTTCTTTGTCTTATTTATATTAAAAGAAGGAATATGTTTTTTGGGGTTTTTGGGGGTTTTTTTGGTCAATGAGATGTAACGTGTGCTATTAAGGTTTCTATAGAACTTTTTTTGTTTTTCTGATGTAAACAGAGATTGTGTCTTTGCTTTCCCCTTTTTTCCTGCCAAGAACGTACACATTAGCCCGAAGATGCAGGAAACCTACTTGCAACCACAAGGAAATAAATATGGGAGAAAAGCGAACAATTAGTTTGATAAAACAGAATGAAAGAAAGAGGCTGGTCCTCTGATGTTTGCATTTGCATGGAGTAGCTGAAACAGTGCTGGGATTACCTAGCCCTTACATACTGATATGTGGAGAAAAAGAACCACCTATTTGTTTATTCTACTTCTAGTCAGGTTTTCTATTACTTGCATTTAAACACAATTCTTATACATTTATTTAGAGAAAAAAAAATCATTCATTATTGATTTTTATTTTTGCTTTTTTTCTTCTACTCAATGAAAGCAATAATTCCTTTAGAAAAATTATAAAGCAGAAACACCAAATCTTTTAGTCCTGTTTTTCTCTTCTTTTGATATTTGCTTATTTATTCTCTACAAGTATAGGTTTCCATTAGATTGGCTTACTAACTTAGGTCATCTATCTTTGGTCTTCTCTCTTAATTTAAATCTTATCTCTGCTATGACTCAGGGTTGCCCAATGAATAAATAACATTATTTTTGCAGGCTTTGCATCTTAAAGAACTCTCTCTTACTCCCCACACCCAATTTTTTGGAAATTTTATTTCCTACATCTGCCTATCTTTTAAGACCTCCATCAGTACCACCCCAATTTATGTCATTATTACCGGTTCCATAGACTATTGGAATGGACTTTTAACTACTCTTTCTATTTCTACACCTAACTCCTACATTATTGTATAAGAATATAATTTTTTTGCACCATAAATCAGAGAGTATCACTGCCTTGCCCCAAGCCCTCCAGTGATTGCCCTATATGATGGAAGTCAATCAAGCAACCTTCCCTGATATGTTATCCCTTTTGCAGTCCTATCACCTGAATGTCTGTGTGCCCCCAGATTCATACGTTGAAACCTAATCGCCTGAATGTCTGTGTGTCCCCAAATTCATATGTGAGGAGGTAAGGTCTTTAGGAGGTAATTAGATCATAAGAGTGGAGCCCTCATAAATAAGATTAGTCCCTTATAAAAGAGTTCTCAGAGAGCTGCTTTTCCTTTTCTACCACATGAGGACAAAACAAGAAGGTACCTTCTTTGAACCAGAAAGCAAGTCCTCACCAGACACTGAATCCATTACTGCCTTGATCTTGGTCGTCTCAGCCTCCAGAACTATGAGAAATATTAATAGATTTTTGTTGTTCATGAGGTACGCAATCTATGATATTTTGTTATAATAGCCCAAACAAAGACACTGACAGCCACTTATCCCCTTAGTCATTTTGTTCCATTATGTGTGCTCACTGTGGCTTTCTTTGAACACATCAAGTAGGCTGTTGTTGAAGTAGCATGTGAAGAAATTAACAGCGTCACCTTAATGGACCATCTGTCTTATGGAAACGTGAAGCCAAGGAGAAGGAGATTCCATGTTTAACCAGGAGGTTATTGAGGGCATTAATGCAGTGAAATAAAACATTTCATTCCATGGCATAAACTCAAATAATAAAATTGACAGAATTTTAGAGTTATGAGAATAGAAAAGATTTAATGTGATTACTTTCTATCAGAGAATCTAGCCCTATATATTATACTGTAATATTTTTAGATGAATAGACTTTATTTTTAGTGTAGTTTTCTGATTATAGATAATTGGGCAGATAGAACAGAGATTTCTCATACATCCTCTCTCTCTGACTCAGTTTCCTTTACTGTTAACATCTTGCATTAGGGTGAACCTATACCCAAAGGTCTCTTATTTAGAATGAAGTTGAGATGATAAGTAATCTTCCTTTGTATATTGAAAAGAAAGATATCCAAAATTTAAGGGTATTGAATGCTGAGGTGAGTTTATTACTTAAGGTTTGCTTGCTCACCCACCATCTACTCTGGGAATGTACAGGAGATGTTCTCTTCACCAAGGCTTTGAGGGATATATTGGCCAAGGTAGTGCTGATGTCCTTAAAGTGATCTGTAAAGATAATTCAATGTAAGACTAGAAGTAACAGCGTGAAGCGCTGCCATAAAAAGGGCCTTCCTGAATTCAACAGGGATGTTGGGACCTGGTAAAGTAGAGGCCTGCCTGGCAGGATGTACCTTATCTGCAGGAGACATTGTGGTCATTGTCATGATGGGAATTAGTGCATTGGCAGCAATTAGAATGATCTGACATACATAAATCTTTAAGGTTGGCTAATTGACCAAAGTATTCAATTCTTTGAAGATACCTTGGTGTTCCTTGGCTTATGGATGCATAATTTCAATTTCTGCCTCCATCTTAGCATAATTTTTTACCTGCATATTTCTGTTTTCTTATGAGGACACCAATTATTAATATTTGGTTAGAGTCCACGCTAATCCAGAATGACCTCATCTTAACTAATTACATATCCAAAGACCCTATTTCCAAAGAAGGCCATGCCCTGGGGTTCAGGTGGACATCAATTTGGGGGAGAAACTATTTAACCCAGTATAGGTCATATGTTGAAATACTTTGCATTGACTTTTATTTGACTATGCAAAAGTAAACATTAAAAAATTGTTTAAAGTCAATGAGAATGATAATAAAACATTAATAAACTTATCAAAAAACCCATAAGTAAGGACAATTCAATTTTTTTATTTAAAAAAATAAATTTTACTAAACATAAAACTTTAGTAAATTACTTTATTTGATACCTGAACCTTCCATGTGAAGGTGGCAGTGTTTATAATGTGAAGCAAAACTTGTACAGCCTCGTGTGGCATCGACAATGATCCCTGGAGAACTCTGAGCAGGTTCTCTATTATATAAGCATCTGGGAAAAAGACAGATGATAAATTCCTAATATCATACTGCACCTTTATCTGAGTTGAGAAAAATCCCATCAGAATGCACCCGTAGAACATCCTCATCAATTTCTATATTTAAAATAAAATTTGAAGCAAAGGTAACATTAACAAGCTTATGTTGATACTGGACTGTTGATGCTGATTATCATAATTGGCTTATTTTACTTAACTAGTTTACAATAGGCATAATATTAATGTTGTTTGGATAAAAATTAAATTTTTGTTTTCATACAGTTTTCTAAATTTTCTATATTTAGAAATATAGCCTCAATGTCTCTACCACATTCATGTGCAAAGTGGCAAATAAATAAAAATAAATTCTTAAATATAATTTTATAAAATATTTCACATTTAATATAGTACTTTATAATTTTTATGCATAAGTAAAGTATTTAAGTAAAATTAAGAAAATATGCATTGACAAAATTGAATGTTCGTTATACTTGGTAGCTTGATTTAAAAGAAAATTTCTAGATTTCACATCTTTGAAACATTCAGAGTATTAGTATAATAGTTGGTGATAATAAAATTATTCTCCTGAAGTTATAAAAAAAGTCACAAATATCATGATTTGTGTAAATGCTAGAAGGGAAATATGAAAAAAGTACCAGCAATTCAATATTAAGAGATGACTACACCCAGTGCATATAAGTTATCCATGTCCATATACAGGGAGAAATTCATGTGTTTAATAGATTATATTTTAAAGCTAAACTGAGCCAAGTTATCTTGGTTAAGGCTCTTAAGCTTCTTCATCTTCAAATTTAGGATAATATATAGTCTTCAGGGTTGGGATTTGAGCAATCTAAGTGAAGCCACTAAGTGATACAAAATAAACTTTTATTCAATAGTTTTGGTAGTTGTGAAATGTATCCCATGTTAAAAGGTGTCCACATTAACCTTTGTCATCAGTTATAATTCTTACAGTTTTTCCCCCTATATTACATGGAATGGAGTCTGGTAAACTACATTTCTGAGGCTCCTTTATCATCAGGTTGCCAGATAATATTTTAAGTATAGAAAATAAAGCTCACTTTTCTGAGGTGACTACAGATGAATGTGCAAAGCCTTCTGTTTCCTAGAAGCAATTTCTTATACTATGCATTTTTTTCACTTTAGAGAAAATTTTATTGAAGTAACACCAATTGTATTATAAGTTTAAACATTTAATGATTTCTCACAATTCTCCCCTTGACTCTTAGACCTCAAGAGAGTGAATATCATTCTTTTTTGTATACCAAAGGAGTAGGTGCATTTCTATCACATTTTAGGAGCTCAGTAAGTGACAATTGACTGACCATAAATTAAAATTGCATTGTGAAAATAAAGTAAAATCACATTACATTTTATTGGAGTAAATTCTGTCTAA